GACCGAAAAGAAGTGTTTGCCGCAAAGTACGTATGAAACCATTATTTTAAAAATGGACGTATTTTCTTTTATCTTTGTGTGAAAAATATAAATAGATGAGTTATGCTTATTATCTAGAAATATTTTTATTAATAAAGATAAAGTAGACCTTAACAACCTTCTCTGTAATTTAATTGGAACCTTTTATTGACATTTCGTTGTTTTCTTCTAATATTAATGATAACAAAAGAAAATAAATCCGCGTTTCGCATCTGCCAGTGCAATTGTGGGAGAAAATAAATCAACTTACAAAACAGTTAGGTATAATAAATCTTAGATGGTAATGTTCCACCTCCAAAGTAAACTCGAACGTCGTCCTTCCACGCCAACAAACGGATCCCTCTTAGTTTGTACAATTGCAAGTCGAGCTGTATAAATGACTTTCATGGTTAGGAATTTATGAACCGTGTTTAACCTAATTGAAGTGATTCTGCCCTAAATGGTTATTTGTATTTTGCAAGTGTCGGACTTGCTTGCACAACTGAGATTACGCCAGAGCATATTTAATATCTACATTTTTTAATATTGCCGTATCACAAGACTACACTACACGGTGAAGCAATCACGTGTGGGTAGTCTTTAAACTGAGAAAAACCTTCCAATTAAATTCTTTTTCTAGAAATAATAAATAAACAAATTACTGTAGATATTTTTTCCAACTGTAGTAGGGTATGTAACATATACTTTTTATAATCGAAAGCAAATTTTACACGTCCATTTCATTCAAACCCGATAAATGTGCGTTAATATTCCAGGGAAGTTTATAGAGTTATGAATACCCATTCCACGTAAGAACCCTGAACTTGCGTGAAATACGACAGCAATTAACTAAGGGGGAGCTTAAGTAGTCCTTCGTGCATATCCCTCTAGTGAGTAAGGTGTGGTGATCCTGTGACATATTTAATCAAGTATCTCTTTAATACAGTCCTCAGTACGAAGATGACGCCGCAGTGGACAGGACAAACACTGGCCGTCGTGCGAATGGTCGCAGTGGTCATTAATTTTCTGGCTTTCTGGAAAGATGGCCGCAGGAGATATTTTCGCAAATTCCGTCCCCGCACCTTAGCCACATTCCTTGAATAGAACGTCCTTATTTGGTGTGCCCCAAACGTCGTAAGTTATGTTCTTTATAGACTTCCGCTCTTATGTGGTTTAATTTCATTTAGTCCCGTATACCTACATTTTGCAGAATCGGATGCAAAGTCCTGATTAACGGGATGAGTTTTTAAACTGATGACATTGCCGGGAACGACTTCTCTGCGGACTAATGACCCGAGCAGCATTAAACTATACGTCATTGACAGCCGGACCCACCAGACACATATCGGTTTCGAGCTTATTAATTCATCAGTATTTTTGGAGTCTTAACTACAGACATGGAACGAGTATAGGTGAGATGTAATAATAATAATAATAATAATAATAATTACAATGCTACATCTATGTATGGTCACTGTTATTCAATGTTTAAGCCAAATGGCCTGCTATTTTGTAGGCGGCACTATGAAAGCAATACATATGTCATTACTAGACTGAATAATTTAAATAAATAAATAAATGTTGATGTTGCGGGAAACAATTACTCTGCTGACTAATGTCCAAGCATTCAATTATACACGCAATGTCAAGTAAACACAATAATTATCTAAGTAGAGATAAAAAATTATTACTATTATTTTATCTTATCCCACGTTTGTAGTAGTCACCAAAACTAGATGGATCATCGTTTACTAGATGTTGCGAGTGTAATTCAATGCCAGTCGAGGCATTAGTCCCCAGAGTAGTTGTTCGGCTACTATAAACAGCACTTGCGAAACAGCATGTACACCACCAGTATGTAGTAAAACTATAGTTACTTCCATTATATCACTCACTATACAATTTTAACCGTTGTTAGATGCATTAAACTTTTCAAAAAAGATATTTTTAATTAACTATTATTAATCAGTCCTTCCGCATTTTTTTGTACGAAAACGTTACCGGAGCTTCATTTCCCCGACAAAGAATACAAATCGTTCTGCCGGATGCACTTTATTGAAACAAATTATTGCACAACTTTAGATGCCCTTCGCAGTAAAACTGTATTTATTTGCATGCGGAAAAGTTTTACAGAGTTCCCCCTTTTTAAACAAGTCAGATAGACACTGGGAAGTTATTTCAGTGGATGATTTAATTTAATTTAATGTCACATTAGCAAAGGTTTTTCAATAAGTTCCACAATTTTACTTTTATTTTATAAACCATTTTCGATTCTATAATTAAATTTGAGGAAGATCCACAATTATGAAAAGAATTAGACATTATTTGGTATCTTCCTTACTCTGTTAGCACTTTTTTCAATTTATTACTACTACATTTGTACATTTGTATTAAAAATTAGAGCTTCTCCCTAGACCAAAACTGTTGTCGAGACGTTTCTCTAGCACATGCACCGCCCTCTAACCAGCAGAGAACAAACTAAATCGTTTCGATTTTCTTGGTTCTACTATGGGATATACGTTAGCAAATCATTACCTACATTATGTAGATAAGAGAAGGAACATTAAATCATTGAAACTGAAACAGTAGAAACTTTTTTATTGTTTTAACATCAAAGATATCTAGAACCATTTCGACGGTTTTTGATTCTATGCACAAATATTTTTCTTTTTAGAAAACCACTTGTCAACAGAACAGAAGAGAACAGAATTGCAGAAATATCTACAATGAAAACTACAAAACTGACAAAAATAATGGCCTGCTAGTAGTATTAATGTATGTCCTGTATACAACTCTTAATTATTCTTGAAATACATTGTCAGACTTTACTTTATGTGGATACGAATGTTTTTGTATATGAATTGACACTAACGTGAAGAATAACTTTCGGTTTTGCGGCTAGCCTTAACTTAAACTAATTCAATTGTACCTAAACGAAAAGTAACTTTAAGTCAAACATTGGCAGAGGGTCCTACAGGGACATGACAATGTTCTACCTTCTTAATTAATTCAATTTGCTTATGAATATATGTAGCCTGGGGTGCTTTCCTTTAGACGGCAGGTCCCTAGGTGGATAATACTGTGCCAATTAGTTTTGAGTTCAAGATGATACCCAGAGATATAATGCTGGATTCGTGTCCCTAATGACATTCTAATTGATAGGCTAGAGGGCGGGAAATCTCCACGAACACCAGGTGACAATTTATCTTGTTGTTGAAATATTGTTACGAGTAAATATATAAATATGGCGAAATCGAAAGTGAGATGAAAATAAGAACTGCATCTCGATGGAATAAAAAGGTTTTTACATAATTTCTAGTGACTGTTATCAGATATTTGTCAACACCTTGTTCAATCTGTCATCTAGTAAAGCTAATTGACCATTATAAGTTTGTATTTTGTGCCTTCAACATTTTAACAGAAACATATTTTTGTCAAATAGACTCCATGGGAAATAATTTCGTTTACGCCACTATTAAGAAGTTTTATTTTCGGGAATATTGGAAAACCAACACACGAGGGCAAACAGTAAAGACATAAAAATTAAAGGCGAACATCTAAACTCTACCTTAGGAGTCTCGTGAATGACTATCGGGGGGATCAATGCTGAGACAAAGTAGTAGCATCGGTGCCAGGTTATTAGATTGGTTCTCAGAGCATTCCACTGCAACAATTTGGCAGGCGTTACGTAGAGAAAAATATGAAGACACACCAAATCGGGATACGTTTGGTATATGAAAAATTTATAGACGTCCGTATTGGAAAGTGTAAATCATATAAGTTTGAGACATTTATCATTGTCGTGCTCATTTATTTTGATTTATCTTTTTCACCCAGTGCTCACCATTACCGCAAAAAATTTAGTTCCTGTTTTGCGTCACAAGTTTTGGAAATATATACCATATATTGTAGTTATATTCGTCATCTGAACGAAATATGGTTTGATTCTTTAATATCAATGGACAAACTACCTTTTGTAAGTTTAAGTATTGTTAGTAACGATAGTTGTGCATCACTTAGGGAGTTTTGAAAGTATAAAAGGGCTTGAATTCGTATTAATCCATTCTAATGCCACCCACATTTAAAAAATGTAAAATAAGGACACACTGCGTTATTTTGCAAGTTTTCTCCTGTGAGTTGTTATCTAGGTGATGTGCAGATAATATTGTAGATGGATATCTACGTTAATAATTTAAAATATTAATTACAGAGAACTTATAGAGTGGTTAATTGAAACGTATGTACACGATCAACAATTAAAAATTGAAAAGAAATCGATTTTTCTTTATTATTTTAACGTATACAATTTTTTTCTCTAGTACTTATTATTCCTCCTCGTAAAATATTGTTCTCTATAACTTTATTTTTCTTCTTACTTTATTATTCCATAATTCCAGTTCCTAGAAGCAATGTCAAAATTTTCCCCATATGATTTTTCCACTTAATAGCCATTATTATTTATAAAGAAATTCCATTGGAAAAGAACTGTACTTATAAAAGAGAAGTCTAATTATAGAAATTCATCCCGAATTAAATGCTAAATAGTTATTTATCATCATATTATTCAGTTCGAAGCTGTAGATAATATTTTCCATCACCCTGTATCACCATATCATGGTAACACTTTAGAAACTCTATTAGAGCATCTACCTATAATGTTGCATCAGTGAATCCGAAGATTCAGCACATAACTGAAATGTTATAATAATGTTATAATTAAAAGTGAAAAATAAACAAGAAATTGTTTAACATTAATTGAAATTCTTTTATTTTCCGTTTCAGCTAACATTAGATGATGCAAAATTGCAATTTTTCAATTAAATTTTTGGTAAGAATATTACTGGGACATTTTTATTCTTTCTGTTGAATTACACTCCAATATAATCTCTGTCATAATTGATTTATCTAAAAACAAGTACTTAACGTTTTAAAGTAGTTCTGAATGGATATTCAGATTAGTATTTCAATAGCATTCGCGAGAAATGGCAATCTCAGCGTTAGCTTTAATTTTATGTTTGCTTATTGAAATATGTTCGTCTAAACATATATTTGTTATCAATAGTGATCCTGAAAGTCCCGAAGACGAATTAGTTTCTGTAGTTGCAGTAAGTTGCATGTTACAGAAATAAATTCTTTGTCCTAATTATTATCCTTTTATTTAGTTATATAGACATGGAGATAGATCACCAATTTCGTCGTTTCCAAATGATCCCTACTACAACAGTTCTTACTGGCCCGAAGGTTATGGACAATTACTAACTGTAAGTTGAAAATATATAATTGAATTTTTATTTCAGTATTTAACTTTTAGAAAGGTATTCAGCGACAGTACGACTTAGGAAAATGGCTAAGAACCCGTTATGACACATTTTTGCCAGCGGACTACTCTCCAAAGGATATTCTAGTATACTCCACCGACATAGATCGCACGCTGATGTCCGCAGAAGCAAACCTTGCTGGACTTTACCCACCCACTGAATCCCAAGTCTGGGAAGATGGTTTCTTCTGGCAACCTATCCCAGTTCATCTAATGGCGACAGATGATCCTGTATTCGCCATGAACGTCGATTGTCCCAAATTCAACAAGCTTCAAGAAGAACTCGAAGCATCGGAATTTTTCGAGAACGTCTACAAAGAAAACAGGGATATGTTAAAAAGCTTGTCTAACTTCACTGGAATGAACGTCTCTTCCTTAGGAAACATACGAATGATTTTCGAAGTGCTTTATATCTATCGTAACCACAACGAATCTTATTTACCTTCTTGGGTTGAGAACATAGATCAAGAGAAACTAGCTTATTTAGCCGGATTGGGATTTGCCCAGGCAACATTTACTGAGGAATTAAGAAGGCTAGGATCAGGTCCATTTTTAAATTACCTTATAAGTTACTTCAGTGATGTCATAAATAACGCTACAGACGTTAGTAAGTTCTTAATGTTTTCTGGACATGACGGAACCATAGTAGCAGCTTTGGGAGGAATGGGCGTTTTCGATAATCGCCCACCCGAATTTGCTTCTGCAGTAATATGGGAACTTCGAAGGAATACCAAGAAGGAATATTACGTTAATGTTTTACACAAAAAGAATAGTACGGACGCGTATGAGCAGCTGTCATTGGATAACTGCGACTTCGATTGTGCATTTAATGATTTTAAAACTAATTTAGAAGCGATAAGCGTCGACAGTGGAACGTGGGGAAAGGAATGTGAAATAAATGATCCTGAAGATCCCGAAGACGAATTAGTTTCTGTAGTCGCAGTAAGTTGCATGTTATAGAAATAAATTCTTTGTCCTAATTATTATCCTCTTATTTAGTTATATAGACATGGAGATAGATCACCAATTTCGTCGTTTCCAAATGATCTCTACTACAACAGTTCTTACTGGCCTGAAGGTTATGGGCAACTATTAAGTGTAAGTCTTATACTGGATGTGAGAATAATTTCGTTATTTTTTAAATTATTTGTTTCCAGAAAGGCATCTTACGACAATACAACTTAGGAAAATGGCTAAGAACTCGTTATGACACATTTTTACCAGCAGACTACTCTCCAAAGGATATTCTAGTATACTCCACTGACGTAGATCGGACGCTTATGTCCGCAGAAGCAAACCTTGCTGGACTTTACCCACCCACCGAATCCCAAATCTGGGAAGATGGTTTCTTCTGGCAACCTATCCCAGTCCACCAAATGGCGACAGATGATCCTGTATTTGCCATGGATGCCGAGTGTCCCAAATTCATCAAGCTTCAAGAAGAACTCGAAACATCGGAATTTTTCGAGAACGTCTACAAAGAAAATAGGAATATGTTAAACAGCTTGTCTAACCTCACTGGAATGAAAGTCTCTTCCTTAGGAAACATGCGAATGATTTTCGAAGTGCTTTATATCTATCGTAACCACAACGAATCTTATTTACCTTCTTGGGTTGAGGATATAGATCAAGAGAAACTAGCTTATTTAGCCGGATTGGGATTTTCCCAGGCAACGTTTACTGAGGAATTAACAAGGCTAGCAACGGGTCCATTTTTAAATTACCTTTTAAGTTACTTCAATGATGTCATAAACAACGCTACCGATGTTAGCAAGTTCTTAATGTTTTCTGGACATGACGGAACGATAGCAGCAGCTTTGGGAGGTATGGGAGTTTTCGATAATCTCCCACCCGAGTTTGCTTCTGCAGTAATATGGGAACTTCGAAGGAATACCAAGAAGAAATATTACGTTAATGTTTTACACAAAAAGAATAGTACGGACGCGTATGAGCAGCTGTCATTGGATAACTGCGGCTTCGATTGTGCATTTAATGATTTTACGACAAATTTAGAATCGATAATTATCGACAGAGAAACGTGGAAAAAGGAATGTGAAATAAGTGGTTCCGTACGACTTGTATTTTCTTGGTCTCTTCTGTTCATGGTTATAGTTCTAAAAGTTCTAAAGTTTTCATAGATGAAGAATACACCAGGGATAAATTTTTATCATTTTTATCTACAAGGAGAATTAATTTAACACTTCAATATTTATCATTATCACTATCATTAAATTGTGAAATATTTTGATAAGATAAAATAGGTTTATATTAAATTATTATTACGTCAGTTACGGATTCAATGTTAAATCGAATTATAATATTAAAATAATTTTGATTAATTGAAATTATTTCTAAATAAAAATTACGTTGAGTAAAATTATAAACTTCTCTTAAACTAATTTAAAGTTTAGATGTTTAGTGCAACAACCATTTTCTTTTTTAAATTTTTACTTGGAAACAACGTAGGGACATCGAGACTTTATCTAGTTCTGATATTATCAGAAACAAAATTAAACGAACAAAGTAAAAAGTTCCAAAGTAATCCCAATACGAAATCGTAAAAACAAAAAGAAACTGAAATCTAATACCGTGCTAAGAGATTGGATATACATGTGAGTTTGAACTGTATTTGGCCCTTATCTTATTACGTCTTTTAACAGAGTATTGCGTACATCGTAGTGTAAAGATCTCGTCTAACTCAATATCGAGAAGCCGAGGTCTAGAAAATAAAAGTAAATATTTCAGAGGCGTAGAGTAATAGTTTCTTTATTTAATATCTAACTTTTCAAATGTTTTTGTTCTTTATCATTGAAAAACACTTTTTTTATGCCATCAATCGATGGAGCCTTTGGTCGAAAAATTTATGAGATATATCATCTAGGTGTCACACTCCTTTTCCTCTGAATAGCTCGAGAAAAATATTTCTGTAAAACATTTAGGATTTTGAATGAAACATAAGAATCTTGGGACACTGTATACTTTTAAATACGATACTGTTTTGTTCATGTAGGTTAAAAATATTGCCCAATAATATTAATTGTATTGTAGTGAACCAAAATCTTCTAATTATAAATGGTAAATATAAATTATAAAACAAGAGCGTGACTCCCGAACCCAAAAACCATTTCGATTCTCCGCCCATGTGGCACTTTGGACTTATCTTTAAGCCCTAACAAAATAACGTAAAAATTTCAGTTCTATTTCGCTCCCAAAAACGGTGTTCTTCCATTACAATATTTTACTGCAGTAAACGAAGCTTTTACCTCATTTAAATGCAACTCTATTACAAAATCCAGTCACGTGTGAGTAGACTCGGTCGATTCTTAGATACGTTTTTTACAAAGGGTCTTGCCATAAGTTTTCATCTAGATGTCCTGCTAGAACTATAAGGGATATATCTATAATGAAATTTATAGTGAGGATAGTAATGGATTCCTTGAAATTCAGCCATAATTACAAATATACAGAATGTAACACTGAACGTGTCAAAAATGAAGCGTTTTCCTGGTTAAATTCTTTCTAATATACGAGTATTGTAGAAACCTTCTTTTTCAAATACAGTTTTTTTTAAACAAAAAAATATATCTTCTGAACAATTGGAAATATTGTGCGCACAATACAAGAATAAAATAAGATTCAACGTGAAAAAATTAAGTACCATTGCCAGTTCAATTCAGTGGCGTTATTTCTCTTTAAGCAATAATTTTTCATACTCTCTTATAGTTTGTTATCACATATTTTTTACAAATCCATTTTAAATTGTCACTTCACAATATTTTTTATTACTTATGTAGATACGTCTTATAAGAACAGAATATATTCACATATACTGATGTGTAATATTACATTTGTGCGTGATTCGAACCAATTCAATTTAACCCAATCAAATAACCATAAAGATAAAAAAGGCAATAAACATGAAGTGTTCGAATGGAAATTCGTTTCTGACAGAGGGGTTAAAAAAATTTTATTGACCTCTTCTGTTATTATTTGTTTGCCCCTTGCGGCACAGCTTTGATTATATCACATTGTCTGAACAATCCAGGTGTTGAATTGTACTGGTTGTACTTTTCACCGGATTTTTTTTTATATGTGATGTAAATATTGAAATTTACATTTGTTAGGAGTTATTCATGGTAAAAAAATATCGCTGCTTTACTAGAATTCCCAACTATATGTAATATTATTCCGTTAAAATGTGTGACACTTTTAAAAGATACCAGGAATTCTAGAAATGGATATTATTACTAAACACAATTAATAAAAATATCTTATTTTATTTTTATGAAATTTCCTTATTTTAATATATGGATTCGATGCATTTATAATAATAATGCATTTATTTCGCAACATAATAAATTGGTCTGAAATTATATATCACTTGTAGCTATTATAGCCCAGTTACTGTAGCTGAAAATATAGTAATACCTCAGAATTTTTTATAACTGCATCGATTTTTCTCAAAATTTAGAATTAGGCTCATCTTACCCCCCACTTCAAAACTTATATATGCGATACGTGTGCTTTTTGTTCTTATGGGGTGAAAACCACCCGTTATTGGAAAAAAATAAAAAATACAAATTTAAGCATTTTATGTAATCAAATCTTTTTTATTTATGGAGTATGAGTAATTTCATGTGCTATCTAACATGAAACTTAATGTATCCGAAATTTTCAACCCGGAAAAACCTTAAAAACCACCACTTTGGATGAAAATAATATAAAAATTTTTTTTTCAACTTGAAACGTTTTAATCATGCATTTTTATCAAATTAAAATTGATTTCTTGATTAAAAAATCTTTTTTATCGATTGCAACTTTTCAACCCTTGAAAAATACCCCTTCTTTCGAAAATAAAATGAAAAAATATTATTGAAAGAGTAGAAACATTTTAAATGTGCATTCGTATTAAATAAACATTTATTCCCTTCTTATAAAATAATTTTGAATTGATTGCAACTTTTCAACCCTTAAAAATTACCCCTTACATTTATTTATATATTTATATATATTTTCCTAAAATTATCACCTATACACGTGTTTATTTTTTTGACGATAACTTTCTTACTTTTTAAGATTTTTAATCGCACAAAGGCTCATATTGCAGGGAATTGTAAGGGCTACGTGAACTGTTGAGATGATCTTTTTTAAGCACTTCATTTTTAAGTTTGAAGGGTTTAAAGGGCTCGAAAAGGGTGGTTCTCTCATTCATATGATCTCGATTAATATTAATTTTAGAGGAATAAAAATAACAAACAAAATCTTCAGCAAAAATTAAGCTAAATTTTTTTACCCTTGTATTTTTTTCGTACACCCTTTAATTTTTAAGTTACAGCGTAAAAATCGATTTTTTTTAAAAAATTTGAAAAATTAACATTTTCAAAAATTAATTTTTTTTTCGAAATCGTGCTTTGTAAGTGAGCCAAAGACCCAGAACATATTATTAGAACATAAATTAAGAAATCTGTAAATGGATTGCATTTAATTTTAATTATCTCGCCAAAGGCACTGATTTGTTTATTATTTTTTCTTAAAAAAATGGAGACTATCATGTTATTTGGATTATATATCCGATAATTTTTATTGTAATGAATTTTAAAACAGCTCATTTTAAAGGTTTTTCAAGGTACTTTAAAGAAGGTTGAAATAGTATTTTTCCTAATATTTATGGTTTTGGCGTTATTTAACTGGTTCCAATTTAGTTTTTAGCCAACATATAATAATGTTTAAAAATCCATAACTCGGTTTATATTGCAATTAGAGAAAAACAAAATAATGCCATTAGATTTGTTTTTTTATTACCTTTCTTTTTGTTCATTACAATTTTTTCGTTAAATCCAATGGTTTCAGAGTTATTTGCAAAAAACTGTCCGAAAACAAGCACTACATAACATTTGTTACCTACTTAAAATTGACTATCGATTCCTGTGGTTATTTTGGGTAAAAATTTCCACCCCCAAGAAGGGGTGGGAACCACCCCCTGGGCAGAAGCACATTTCGGAACTATATAAATTTTGTTCTTTGAAGCATTCCCACATTCACTCAAAATTTCACGTCAATTGGTTCAGTTATAAAGAATTCGGAGGTAAAAACTCTGAGTAACTGGACTATTAGTGTTTACTAGGTAGGCATATTATGTTGTGCGAAATTTGCACGGTAATTGTGGCTAAAGAAATTTGTAATTATTACATTGAATGGCCTGTGTTATTCTAACAAACAACGTTTGCAATTAGTTTCCTAATAGTCAACACGCAACCGAATTTGTAGAATAACAATGTGCATTTACATTAATTCAATACATCTAACCGCAACTGCAACAAAGAATATGTACAACTTCCTATCTATCCATATCCGAGGTATTCGTACAAATAATTATTTTTTACCACTAGTATTTGTCTTTTTTTAATTACTATTTCTCAGTCAAAAATTTCAAATAAACAATTGTTCAATATTTGATACCCAAGAAAGCTCTACAAATATAATTATTGTTTAGTAACGAAATATATTGCTTTTACATTTTAATGAGGAAAAATGTAAAATCATCAAAGGAAATAACAGCCTAATACCTAAGTAATGCCAACATATCCGAGTACAATGTTTAATATTTTCAGCAATCATTAAACAATACATTATACGTTGTTTACGCTGAATTTTAATTGAAAATTGTTTGTAGCAGTCGAATAGGATCAAAACGGTTTCCACATGCAACTATGTATTTGATTTCAGGTCCGTTATAGTATTTCTGTTTTAAATTGGTTTAAATTAATACTATTTCAATACCAACCGGGATATTTGGCCCAGGGAATATTTGTTTCTCATAATGTTATGAGTTGAGTAAATATTGCTAGACAATCTATATGTTTGTATTCTGCACTATTATTTTTCTTCGATTTTATGTTATGTTATTGTTAATCTATATCATATAGGCCTTTCTTGGTAACAATTTGATTATCATTTAATACGAAATTGAATTCAAAATGGTCATTTGGTATAAGTCAACGAAGTCACCAAATGAACAAAATCGCCAGCTGGTTATAAATATGTTACAGTTTAGTGTTTAATTTACAGTAAAATGAAAGAATGAATACTACATTTAATCGGCCAACCTTTGTATATAACAAAATGTGCGACTACATCTACTTTGATTGTCATTTTATACAACTTGAACTCAGTAAAAGAAATCGTAAACGATTTAAATTGAATTCTAAACATACTTTCCATAAAAGGTCTTGTTTAAGAATTTTCTCATCAACGATTTTCGTTTCAAAATATATCCAGAGGCAGTAATTGACTCCACTTGAAAAAAAAAACTGTTATTCTTAACTCGAGTTAGCTTGAACTTAAGATATTTACAGGATAATTAGTTTTTCGACCTTCGGTTGTTTTCGAATTGTTTTGGCAGAAAATATAATGTTTGCAATTTGAACTTTGACCCAACGCAAACAACAATAATTTAAATAATTTCTAAATCAGTTACAGAATTCCCAACATTTTTAATGTTACCAAAAGTTGCTGAATATTATTAAGTTGCAATGAAAATTTGTAACAAAGAATTTTCTATAGTTTGATCATATGCATAGATGACCTATATATACAATAAAATTAAATTAATATATCTCACGATCAATAACTTTTTTATTTAATTCGGCCGTTTCGTCGCCTACATAAATTATTTATTTTTTTTTTAGTACCCAAACTACTCAGTCAGCAACTATAAAAGCAGAAATAAAATCCTTATTAATGTACATTTATAAGCGTATCTTCCGAAAGACAATTTACTCCTGAAAATAATGCTGTGGAGAACAATAAGATAAGAAAAACAAGAAAACGTAAGTTTTACTGCGAGCATATAAATTTATTTCCGCATAATTCACTTCAACTAACATTTTTTCTGAGAAGATGAAATATATCACTGCTCCAAAACAGAATTAATATGAAAAGTCATTTCCACTAATGAGTATTATGCACCTCTCTGATAACGCATCAAATAATGTTGAAAATTTTTTATCATATTCTATCAAAACCACAAGTTTTGTATCTATGTTACTATTATATCTGATTCATAAATGTTGTAGTAATAAAAGAATGTTGTAGTAATAAAAAAAATTATATGACATTTTGTACATCTAATATTACGACATTACGGTATGGGGAACCAATTTATGAAATTACATCGTAAACATTCAAAGGCTTATGTAACGATCTTTTTTACTATAAACAAGAAATCTCGGTGATACGTTTGTTGGTAGATCAGTAGATCATAGAAACACTTAATTTAACTAAAAGCAAGCATTATTTGGGTAAAAGCTTTGCCTTAGGAATATGTAAATGGGTCGAAGTGTACCCGAACTGAATCTTTCTATAGAAATACTCGATAATGTTTCCATGCAGCGTAGTGCTTTGATTTCCGAAGTGCACTATATCGCCTTCTATGATATTGAACTAGTAAAAGTGTGCATTAAAAATCAAGAAGCGAAATAGCGAAATAATAAAATTTGCTCTAAATGTACTTATACTGTTAGTATCCATTAGAGAGAAGAATTATAGTCATTATTATGTTCAAATCGACGAAAATATAAAAAATATTTAAGTTTGACCGGGTATAATTCAGTCAATACTTTTGATAACGCATTATTTTGAAGGGAATCTCATCTAGTTTTTTGTATAGCAATTTTCTTTGCCTACTTCCACTAAAAAAAAATTTTAGTCAAAAAAAGCAAAAAAAATAAAAAAAACATATAATTTTTTGCTTTTTTTGAATTGTTTATTAACGATTTTTGCATAAAATTTTTCTTTTAAATTTTTTAATTAAGTCACTTCTATGGGAAATTCAATTCTCTACAAAATATTTCCTAAGAACTATACCGAAATTTTGCTTCGTTTTCGTGCTATATTTAAAAAACTGCAAATGTGCATTTTCACCCCTATCTCCAATTTCCGCCCTCCAACTTAATAGCACTCCGCGGTTTTTTCATCTAAAATGACCCTCAAGTATTACTGTAGTAGCAGCAATAGGGTAAATATAAAGTCAGGCCGTGTGCCATTCTATGCTACTGACTGTCATAAAAACACGTGCCATACATCCGACCAAATAAAGCGTCAAACTAACTCACACAAGGACAAACGACAGTGAATTACACAACTAACGTCCCTCGGCAAGAAACCTGGATTGTTCACCGGCACGCCAGGCCGACAGGGCAGGCATTAGGGAGCCGCTAGATGAGTATTGAATAAATTGATCGATGCGAAGCTTCCCATCAGAGTGTATGTACAATGACGCGATAGTGGGATTACTAAAAAAAATTATAAAAGAAAGCGATTATTCACTAAAGACTGAAACAATTTTGTGGGTTTTGTAAACTTTTTTGTGGTTTTTTATTTTACATAAATATCCATCTAGGTCCAGCGCCCTCTTTTCTCACCGTTAGCTGCGAAATAGTTCCCATCCGCATTTCAATTTATCCCTTAGTCGGTTCCCGGCTCCAATAACAAATGCGCCATAAAGGCAGATAAAATAAAAAAAACGGCGGGGCCGAGATTCTACTGCCTTATGCGCCAATAAATATATTTTATTTGGGCCAATAAATTTTTTATGCCGACATTTGTTTGTAACCCCGGAGGTCCACGTGCTCCAACGCCGACTCGAAGCCGGGAGTTGCGCGCGTCTGGAGCGTCGCGGCGCCGTGTGTTGACGCCTCATCGCGCCAGAAGTTTGCCAGTAGCGCATTGGAGGTCCGTGCGTATCGCTCACCCATCGACTGGTGACGAAACGTGAGTGTACAGCGCGCCTATCGCAGGAACTAGCCAGGTAATTTTTAATTTAATTATATAATTTTTTATGCCATTACTGATGGCTGCTGAACCGTTTATAATTTTTAGCCTATTATTATTGTATTTTTCTTAGCTTCGTAATACAGTCGCAAAAAGTATACTCCTTTCATAATGAATAATTTATAAATTTTGTATCTTAAAAAATTCACATTAAATACAAAACAATATGTTCTAATTTTAATTTTAGACAATTTATGTTACTTTATTATCACCCATTTTGGAATTAAATAAAAGAAATTTTCCGACTTTGTATTTATTTTTTATAAATACATTTGTATTACATATTTATCCATCACCGGTCACTTTTTGTTTAAGTAATTTATCCATAAGTTCCAGTAAACAGCCGAAATTGAACTGAAAATTATACTCCTCTCATTTCTTTAAAATTTAATCACAGTTTTTGCTAACGACTTTACAAAGCTTTGAAGCTTTTCCGTAAAACACCTGGTTGGTGATAATGTGAAACAAGTCAAGATCGATGAAGTTATACAAACAATGGAAAAGCGCTTTTTGTTTATGTTTCGTAAACTTCTCTCGAACACAGCGAAGCTTTTTATCGTGTCGAAATCTCATTAAAGGTTTTCCATCACGTTTGAAAACAAAAATGACATACTTCTGTCTTTAGATGCGGTTTAAGGTAAATCTATACTGAAAATAGTAAAAAAACTATAAAAAATATGTGGCATATATGTTTGTACCAATGTGTAAATCTATACAGCAATATAGCAACTGGATTTCTTTTTTTAATTTTCTTAATTGTACTTAATTATATATTTTTTAAAACATTTCTTGTAACTGTTTGTGGAGTTCAGCATTATTTTAATTAAATTTTTTTATAATTTTCACAATTACTCCTTTCAATAGTGAAAGCATAATGTTGGTTCACTGCTAGACAGTCAAAAACTCGTCTATTCTATACGTCCTTTCACTGACAGGTAAAGTAGAACTTCCATTTCCTTTGTTTAGGTCCAAATAAAAAATATATGACTTGTTTGGATTTAGCTTTAATTATGTTCAAGTCATCTTAAGACTTAAATCTAAATTAGTTTTTCTAACACTCACAATATCCAAATTAATACCAAAATATATTGCAATTTCTGATTGTAATCTTATTACATTAGTAACCAAATAAGTTTATTCTGAAAAACGATAAATAACTACAAATTGCAACCGTTTATCTTACACGTAAATGAAAGAATCAGACCAAGAGAGACCGTTTTCATGTTTGAAAATAGTTTGCGGTTTGCGTGGAATTAATTTTGCCATGTCAAGGCTTCCTTCTAGGTTACGTCTTGCGAGACAATCCTCTAGACTTCCTAAGCTGAGAAAGGTTTCAAAGTAATTCAACACCACAGCTCGGTTAAATCGATCCGGATGGGTTGAGTTTGAATTATTCAACTTAAACTTGTTTTTACAGAACTTGTATTACTTATCTCAAGCAAGAACTTAGTAAAAGTTTAATAAACTCACAACACATTCTACACATCGAGAAAACGGATTCTTTTGTCTCTGATAAAGAATTATTGTTGTACTTTTGTACTGCTTTCTGGGTTGAGCAAAAAATACTCTGATCTATCTAGCGATATGGGCTAAACTTTTTAAAACTTTCATAAGAAACTGCCTGGATATTTTTCACTGGTTGATTTATAACGGACAGGGATATTCTTAATTCGCCATATAAGAAAATGTTCCAGCAAGCGGATACGAAGCAAATTAAATTTTTTAACTCAATTATGGAGGCTCAAATATTTTTGCGAACTTGCCACCAGTTTAAAATGAAACCTTTACTGTGTTAAATAGGTTTTTTTATGAAAATAATTAATCTCAACAAAGAAGAAAAGTTGTTCATTCTTCTATAACATTCTTGCTTGCCCCTAGTTAACTGTAGACTTAATTTATGGTTTTCTCTCACGCCTTAATAATCGCAAAAGTATGTAATTAATTTTTCATCCATTCTTTATCCTGAACTAAATATTTCACAACTTTGTTGATGTAACACATTTTATGTAGCGTTCAGCTAAACTGAAATACGATTCTAAATGAAATACCTACGTATTAATATCCCAAGATTGTTCTCGAGTTCTAAAGACCATGAAAGCTTTGGGGAACTTTCAAGGCTATGCCTCAATTTAAATATTCCTTAGGTGCTGAAAAATTATTTACAAAAGCCTTACTGAAAAAAGAGATGAAGTTGTATTTTTAATTAGGTTATAGAAGTATTCATTAATCTCTTTGAGTACTTCATGTCATGAAAACGAAATAATGTGATTTAATTGCGACTGCCAAGTTATCCAGATTTTCTATTGCGTTGGCAATTGCCATTAGTCAAACCTCAAATTAATTCTTGTCGCAATTCGTGTTTCGTTATTGCGTTTTGCTAAGTACAAAAATTTTTTAATGAATCTTTTATTCTTTCCGCGTTCCTAAATGAAATATTTAATATTCAAAAGGTTCTTAAGTAATTTTCTCAGTTGACGTTTTTACGCGTTGGATATTTTTTAATTAAACGTTAATTTTGTTCTCGATAGTGTAGAGTTCAACACTCCGCATGAACGTCGTCAGAATTCACCAAACATACGTCCTAGGAGTTGCGTTTTGCTTCGCCAATAACATGTGATAACCAGGTATATCTCTGATAACTATGAAACTTGATGACAAAATTTAACAACTACTGTTAATTTGTGTAAAGAAACAATAAAAACAACAGAAAATAAGTCGACTGAATATATTACATAAAAATGCGAGTGATAATAAAATGATGTGAAGTAAATTTTTCTATTTCGTCAGCTTTGATTTGGAAAGGTGTATTTTCGAAAACTATTAAGTTTAAGATATACTGTATAGCACTAATAACGCAATAAATATAGAATGATTTACTGAAAGTATCCCCTAAATGGCATGGGAAGGGTCAAACAAAGCTTAAATTCGGGGCCAGCTTTCAAAACCAAAGTAAAAAATATTACAACAGATCACCTACTTCGTAAAAACCACACGCTCCAGAGGCGACATGTCCCCAGTTGGAAAAGTGACAAATCTTTTTAGAACTAGCCTATAACGTAATCCTAATAGCGGGGTGATTTATCAACGTCGTTCTAATGCGAGTGGACCTTTACATAATTGTTGGTGGACACTAACCATTAAGTATATTCGTAAAATTGGATTTGTTAATTTGTCATTACATACATGTGTACCGCTCCTCTAATAAATATATCGGTGTTACCATTACGACAATAGTTGATGGGAATTATTTTAAGTAATGCTTAAGATTATTTTATTTCACTTCTTTCGAAACAAATTTGATTTCATACATGTTTCCTTTTAAAATTTTCGAAAATTAACCTCAACAATGCTAAGAAACATTTTTGGAACTGCTGATTCCATCGGTAGCGCGGCTATGAATTACTGTATCGTTATACTGTATTGAAGGTCCTTCTTAGTATGTTCATTCGCACTTATTAATATACACGCTACGCAAACTGTTGTTTCACATAAAGAAGACATAGTTAAAAGAATTTAGAAAAATAAATAGCACTTAAACATATTTCGCAAATAATTTAGTTTGAAACGTAAAACGAGTATTATAATTGGACTAACAATTTTTCTGTTTGCAACAAAAAAAAACGAGCCACCTAGCCCCACAACTATTCACCTCATTTTATGCAGTATGTAAGACGGGAACGATTCCAGTAGTTCTCAATAAGTTTCAACAGTTTTTGTTATTCTCAAATGCTTATATAATGTTTTTTCCTACCGTTAAAAAGTTCTAAACAGCCCGCATGAAGATTTTTAGCTCAAAGTTGAGAGCTTATTCTTGCAACACAATTTTGCTTGGTATAATGGGATTAGAAATTACTGTATTTGGAATAAATGGCTATTTCAGCAGTCCAACGACTTCAAGTTTGTGCATAACTGAATAATACATTCAGCTGTGCAGTTCCTTATGACTGAACAAGTTTTTCAAAGGATTTAATTCATGACATGTGATATGGTCTTTTTTCAATAACAAGTATTGTTCATATATTTTTTAAATCTCCAAGCAAAATCAGTGCAGCAAAGATTAAGAAAGAAACGGGTTGGTGCACAAACTGGGGGTGAGAGAAAAACAACTCTTTGGAACCCTTTTTTCTGAATTACATATTGCTATTTCCATAAAGTAATGTTTTAACTCCACAAGTTAAGATATTTGTGGGTTTATTGGAACCGTAGTTATTAAAATTTGTATTTTCTCGAAGGATACTCAGAAAGGAAAGTACTAAATTTTCATTCCTTAAATGAATTTTACGAAACAAGGTCAGACTGGCTTGCCACGTGATTGACTATCATAGAACTAGATCCTAGCGGATCAATTTGTATTCGTGAGAGAGCTTTAGCTTTGGTGCTACATCTCTTATATTCAACGGTAAAGTCGTATTCTGAGTTTTATTTTTCACCCGCTTATAGTTGAGAATTTGCATTGGCTTTTAAATTCAATAATCATCTAATAACAAAATACATGTTTTTAATTTTATTTCCAGTATCGCTGTTTTTACGGAAATTATTGAAGTAAATAAATGGAAACAATAATATCGCAGTCGCAGAAAATCCCGAGTGGTTCCAATTTACAGTTCCATTTTCCTTTATTCCATAATTTTCCATTTTCGAATGTGCGAAACTCGAACGTAATATTCCAGTCTCAACTTCCTGTTAACACTGCGACATATTAGATTTTACGTGCTGTTTAAAATCACTACGAACTTTCGATATTCTCATAATTAAATTTAATTGCGTAGAAACAGTTTGCAAGTTCTAATTAATTTCACGTTAACTAAGTCGCTAGGCAATTTATTACCGGAAATTGGTACGAAATTTTATCGCGAGTACAGCCTGCGGAAGGAGAAATACAGGTACAAATAAAATACGCCAATACCTGGAGTGGATAGAGAGGCCCGCAGACGATTCAAAACCAAATTAAAGTGAAACTGCTAACAGAACGTTTAC